ATTGTTTCCAGCGACTTTTCATATTTTTTTTGGTTCCTGAGATATAGCCATTGTAAGTTTTCAAAGTGACACCCTGTATATATTGTCACGGCTCTGGGGTGCGTGACAGATATCTTAGGTTCGTTTATTCCAAAATCAAAGTCCAATTAACACGACAATGATTTATTCCACGTTCCTACACCTCTGACACTAGTTACTTCACTAATTAACTCAAACAACTTTACTCTTTACAACTCTTACAAAAATCACTAAATCGTATCACAGTCAATCTTAAAAATCTTAAAAACTACTAACTTATACCGGCCTTTATATCCGTAATCCATTCTTGTAAAATCCAGAATAAACTCGATAGCCCTTTTTCCCGAATAGCACTGTAAAATCTAGAATCAGCTGTCCAATTCTATACACCCTGGCGCCTCGGCACTGCCTCCTCTTAAGGTTGATCGTCCTGATCAACTTTAACTTACTCCTGGTGTTGCGCTGAATTCGATAAACCAAATCATTAATCCTCTTGATTATTCTGTAGGGTCCTTCCCATGCTGAAGATAATTTCGGCGACACACCTTTCTTTCTTGCTGGATTATACAGCCACACTAAATCACCTTCTTGAAATCCGGCTGAATTGGCTTTCAAGTCGTATCTGGTCTTCCAGCTGAATATGCTCCCGAGCAAAATCATGTATCCCCAGAAGTCGTGCACTTACTTCGTCGGCCTAATCTCGAATTGCTTCTCGTTCTTCTCCAGGTATTCCAAACATCAGATCGCAAGTTAACCTGAGTTCCCTTCCAAAAACGATTCTAGCTGGTCTTTCACCTGTTGACTCGTGAACAACTGCTCAGTAAGCCATTAAAAATAGAGGCAAATGTTTGTCCCAATCTCGCTGGTTCTTGGCGACTACTTTTGTCAGGTGTTCCTCTATGGTCTAATTAAATCGTCCTACCATGCCATCAGACTGTTTATGTAAAGTTGTTGTCCTTGTCTCACGAATTCCCATGATCTCACAAATTTTCTTGAATATGGCAGATTGGAAGTTTAGTCCCTGATCTGAATGCAACTCTAGTGGCACACTATGACGACTAAAAACTTCGTCCTATAGCACCTGGGCAATAGTGATGGCTTCTTGATTGGGAGTAGCGAAAACTTCTGGCCATTATTACTGAAGTGATCCATGATAACTAAGATGTACCTATTTGTTACCACGCTCCGACTCAGGTAACGGTCCGGCAACATCTATCGCTATTCTGTCAATTGGGAGACCGACGCTGTACTGTTTAATGTGCCCCCGAGATCCCAGTTTAGGGGCTTTACTGGTAGCACAGATGTCGCATTTCCGGCACCAGTTTTAAGCGTCTTCATGAAAGTTAACCCAGTAAAAACGTTCCCGAATTTTGTCCAAAGTCTTGTTACCTAACTCCAAAATGTGCCCCTGAAGTTGCGTCCTGTATTTCTTTTAATACATCTTCTACTCGATCTTTTGGAATAACCAGTTGGCTCTTAGTAGTTTTTCCATCGGCACTTTCCCAAACTGTTTTCAGTAAACCATTTTCTATGGCCAGAGAGTTCTACTGACCCCACAGCGCCTTGTAAATCAAACTCTTGTTCGACACTTCCCTCCATTCTGGCCCACCTTCATCATTTTCTTTAAGATGTAGAATTTGCCCGATGTCCTGGTCTGCCTCTTGATCTGCTCTCATTTGTTTGGTTGTCAATTTATCATCAACGATAAAACCCGTTCTTCTCACATCCGGCCCAGTGTTTTTCTCATGCATATCGATTCTTTGACAATACCTGCAGTCTTTAGTGCATGGCCGTCTAGACAGAGCGTCAGCATTTTTATGCAGGTTTCCAGGTCGAAGTTTAATTTGGAAATCGTATGGCTGCAATTTCTCAATCCATCAGCAAGATGTCCTTCGGGAATTTTCATTTCTAAATGCCATTTTAGAGCCGTGATCTGTTCGAATAAGAAACTTACGTTCGTAGAGATATTTATGGAAATGGTCGACTGTTTTCACTATGGCAAGCAGCTCTTTTCTGATGACACAATAATTTCGTTCTGGTTTTGATAAGGTTCTACTGTAGTACTCTACGACATGCTCTTGTGAATTTTGAATTTGTGAAAGTACAGCTCCAACACTGCTGTAGCTTGCATCTGTGTCCAAAATCAACATGCCTTTCTGATCGAGATAGGACAACACTGGGCTTGTAAATAATGCTCCTTTTAATTTTCTAAGAGCAGAATCGCATTCTTGGGTCCAAATGAATGTTGATTTGTCTTCCATTAATCGATGAAGCGGAGCAGCTATATTAGCGAATCGTTCTACAAATCTTCGATAATAAGAACGTGCCACATGTTACTAAATTCTCCAAAATGGTGCACCGCCACGGATGCGGTGATTAAAATTCACTAATGCCAATTCCAAACAACAGCTGGTCAACGCCTGTTTAATTTAACAATACTGCTTTTTCTACCATTCCACCACGGTGCCTACACCAGCTGAATTTAGCCACACGCGGATAATACTAGAAAACTCCTTAGTTCATGTTTGTCGCGTTTGTGTGGTTTTGGCCAATCCCTGACAGCATCTATCTTTTCTTCCATAACTTGTATGCCGAGAGTCATCATAAGGAGAGCCATATCTCAGCCCTACTCTACAGTCACACTTAAAAATATATACCCTTCTTGCGGTATTAACATTCGGTGCCCCCTTTCAAGTTCCCTGCTTGTTTGATTCTGGTATAACAACTCTTCGTTTTTCTTCCAGAACTTCCTTCATCGAGTCTCTAATGAATTTTTCTATTGGTTTTTTTTCTTCTTGTATTGTCACAGCTCTGACTACGTGATGGTCTTGTTGTTTCTACATACCTACATTGATATCTGCATATCTCGAACTTTATTGATGAAATTTTTGGCCGCTAGTTGTTCTCGCATTTCTCTTGTTGCTTCCGGTAGGCTGAATTAATCAGAGGGCGATATCGGTTTCAAATTCTTCTAAATGTTCCCACTACTTTACGTTGAGTTGTTCTTAACTGTATGTGGTAAAGCTTCGGTCGGTATTAATCCCTAACAAGCACACCATAGTTTTGTCTGGATGCTGGTAAAAGAGTCTCTAATAGCCTGTGGTCATGTTATCAGAGCTGCAACGATAATCTATTGCAACAGCTAAAACTGACGCCTTGTACATCTCCCACTTCTGACCGTCATGGGTGGCATTACTATAATATGTATTGAAGGCGAAGCTCAGATCGCAAGTCACATTCCAACTTTTTAATTTTGTTCTGAACACTATCGGCTAAAACTTACCATGGCGCGGATACAGCTTCTGACCACAGTACTCATAGCTAACTTTAGCGTCAGTCGTCATACTAAACAAAAACATCAGGTACCTATGCACAAATATACAAAACGGAGACATGAATGAGAATGGACTAAAAACGACAATCATCAGGCAAAAAACGACAAAAATAAGTAGGTACCTAACTACACTGAGAGACAAAAATGGAAATATTAGCGCAGACATAACAGGCAAACTAGAACGGTGGGAAGAATATATAGAGGAACTTTTTGCAGACAGTAGAATAGACACAATGCAACAAAATCTGGAACAAACAGGTGAAATAGGTTAGGACCACCTCAGGATGTAACTAAAGACGAATCCAGCCATAAAGAACGTGAGAAAAAACAAATCACCCGGACTTGATCAGAAGTCTTTAAACTCATAGCTTAGACCAAATCCACACATGGCCCATAATCTCCTTTAATGCCATATACAAAACGGGCATACTCTCAAAAGAATGGCCTATGTCATCATTTGTAACCATTCGAAAAAAGCCGAATGCAATAGAATGCATGCAGCGATCATATTCATAGAACCGTGGAAGGAAACATAAGTTGGGCTTCAGAAATGCGATGAGGACACGGGAAGCGTTATTTCCCCTAAATGTTCTTAAACAGCCAGAGGTGTCTAGATGTGAACCAAGGTCATTTCATCGGTTTTTTGGATCACAAAAAAGCATTCGAATAAACGAGAAGCACATGGATTTCAGCGACATGCGAATAATTAGCAACTTATTCCTATATTATAATCAAAGAGCTGTTTTTAGAAAGGGCGAGATATAACAATAAACAAGATAGGACACTCACGAGAAATAAGATCCGGCATAGGTCAAGCTAGAACTGCTTTTAAAAACATGCGAAAAGTATTCTGCACTATAGACCTAAACATCGAACTTTAAGATCAGAGTTGCCGAATGTTATATTTTTAAAATCCTTTTCTATGGAACGGAGTTATGGACAATAAACAAAGATGACTTGAAAAGATTCCAGGCTTTCGAAATGTGGGTACAGGCATAGGTATAGACAAATGCTTAAATTTTCTTGGACGGAACGATTTACAAAGAACAAATACAGAGATATTGAGGCGATAAGGTAAAGAAGCGGAGATAGTGGACACTGTAAAAACAAGAAAATTTGCTTATCTGGGTCACGTTATGCGCGAAATAAGGTTCCACGTGCTACAGCTAATACAAGAAAAAATACAGGTCAATCGAGTCGTAGGAAGAAGACGCACTTCATTGCTGACAAACTTGTGAGAGTGATACCACTGAACATACATCAATTATTCATTGATGGAATTATTCCGAGCAGTCGCATCCGAAGCAAGAATCGCCATGATGATAGCTAACCTCCTGAAAGAAGGCGAGGCGGCAGGTAAAGAAGAAGAACACTATCCATTTCGTGACCACCATTTCCAATTTCTCCACGTAATTCATTCATTGTATTCTTGAATCTATTATCTTGCCCTTCCAAGATTTTTTCAAATCTGGTTTGTTCTTCAGAGATTACTGTTCGAATCCACTCTCGCTGAAGGTTTTATTTTGATCTTCGATCTTCTTGTTATTATTAAATTGCTTTAAGCCGGTTATGCTCTTCTGGTTTTTTTGCCAATATGTACCTACTGATGTCGAAATAAAATTATATTAACAAAACAAAATATTTTTAGAACATGTCGCATTCGTCATTGTAAGCCAAAATAACGACTATAACGATGCATTGGCAAAGGAACTTGAACGGAACTTGGAAGCACAATCACAAGAAATGCAAATTGTAAGTCACTAATAATAATCACCAAAAAGAAAGGGGAGAAACCGTTGTTATACCATAGATGGCATTGGTCTACCATCATAGTGAACAATACTGCTTTGTTATTCAGACACTAGACCTTTGGGTTTCTCATCTCCACTGTCCCTTGGTAGGCTGATGAGACTTAAATACAGTATCCGCCAAAATAAACAGTTCTGAACATATAAATTATATCATTTATTAATTTGTATCACGCGTATATCTTCATAGCGATTCTGCAAATCATTGAAAATATTTATTTAAGAGTGGTTGCTGAAATTTTTATGAGACTTGTTTGTTTCAAACTTGAGCCTTTATTCCTTCCAAATCCGTATGACCGGAAATATTGCTCTACTGAAAACTGTTTCTCAAGTTGAAAGATACATAATGACGAAGATTAACCTTAACCTTAACTTAATGTCAACCTCATAACTAATACCAAGTAAGCGAAATTTATTTTGGCGGATACCGTAGATCGAAACGCGTCCGTGAATGAAATGAGAAGAAATTGAATCTCTCCTTTCTTTTTGGTAGATAGATACCTTGTTCTTGTTTGAAGTATTTGAGTAAGCATACCCGAATAATAATTAGGTACCTTTTTCCTCAGGACAAGCCAGAAATCTACATTTCCAATAAAGTATTTGATGCCAGCGCAGATTGGATCATAGCTCCCATTATAGCGCAAATTTTGGATAAAATCGACAAGAATTGCCGATGGATTGTTTTTTTGGAAGATCGCACAACAGTTTCTTTAAAACTGCTCTTAGATGCACTGAATAAATGGGATTTCAATAATGTACCTAAGTTTGATTAAAATCACTTCATTATTTAAGAAGTTTCATACCTATCGAGTTTTTTAGCGTTCAAGAATTTTCTGAATGATTTGGTATAGGATTATTTTAGCCTACTCATGTTTTTTTTTAAATTTTTCATCTGCTTTCCATTAGGCCAGAGCAGTTAGCTGAAAAAATGGCCTTTAGGAGAAGTTTTTGCAATCAAGCTGATTTTTTCACAGATGATAGTACCCATCAATAGTACTCTGTGAAAAAGAGTTGCTCCTCCTTCTCCTATTTTTGCTAACTGCCCTGGCCTACATTCAAATTCATGTGGAATTGAATTGAAATTTGATAGAAACTTCTCAATAGGTACATAAATGTTTTTAGGAAACATGGATAGGACATGCTTCATACGACTCCGATGCAACCATTATACATCATTTTGCCTTTCATGGGGATCCAAAGTTTTTCAAGTATCCGAATTTGGCTTCTGGGATGGCTTTGAGTATCCCATTATTGAAAAGGTAAAAAAGTTACTTTCTACCAAAATTAAATGTAGGTTTTGACTTTCAAATAAGTAGGTACATAGTTAATAAAATACCTAAGTACTTACAATGATCGAACCTAATTTTTTAGTCCTTATCGATTAGCACATTCTCTCAGGAGATGAATGTAGTACAGGTAATATTTTTTAGATATAAAATATTTCAGACTGAGACACCGTTTAGAGAAAGGATACAAACAACCAGATTTTTTCATCGATCCGGCACACGAATTTTCACTTTTTGTATATGAAGATGGAAGAGGCCTGATGATCCAACATGAACCATTATTCTGCTCCAAAGAGGAACCTAATTGTGCAACTTATCCCCACAAATTTCAATCTTGTGTGAGTATATATGGTGACTAATTATAAGGCATAGAAATTCAAATATGATTTCCCTCCATGTTTCTTTCCAATATTTGCACTAGATTAGGCGATTGAAACTATACTAGGGAATTATTGTGATTGACGATAAACGCGAATGAGAAACAAAAAAATAAAATACACAAAGAAATATTCCCTACAGTCTACCGCCACCGTAGTGTCAAGAATAGATTGGTTATCCACTGGATTACCTATCCCAGCATAGTTCCAAAGTTCCAAATTAATAATTATCATGGCACCAGTATCATCTATACGACCTACCTAATAAGTGAATAGTTTTGAAGGAGAATTTGCTTGCTCTATAAAATACTCTAAAAATGTATCCTCCTAATATATAGGTAGGTAAATATAGGCACATAAATGCAAAAATAGCGAAACTTATTTTCTCTTTCCAAAAGGTTTACCTACTCCATTTTCAAACAGGGCACTTAAAATTAAAGTATTACCAATATCAGTTGAAAATCGCATCTCTATGATGACTACCTACTCAAAATTAGAAAAATACCCCTTATGATAATATACAGGGTGGGCCAGCGAAAACGAAACAAGGTCGATATCTCGTATTCATCGTTCATTGAAAAAAAGCGCTCGGACCCGTCGATTTTTATTCGGAGGGGGAAATCTTCTGCACATATTTTCAATGTTGTCACTTCAATCCTCTCGCGGGGGTAAGCTCCAACCCTTAAATCTTAAATGGCAGTAGGGGTCAAGCGATACCTCATTTCAAAGGTCATCGAATTCTCTTTTCAACGGTGCCTATTTTTTTAAATTTACTGAGTTTTTTTTTTCAAAAGATATTTGAAATTAGAATGTATTCAGTTGAATTTTATTGAGTGATGAAAAAAAACTAGACTTTAACCTTGTGATTTCAAGTTGGATAGCACACGACTTCAAAAAAAACACATAAAATCACTTCTTAAGAAAAAATTGTTATAACTACAAAATTGATAGAGCTCAAAATGACTAAAACAGTACTAGTTTCGTCTATTTTTGAATGCGTTTTCTCGAAAACCACTGCATCAAATTCAAAAAAAAGGCACCGTTGAAAAGAGAATTTGATGACCTTTAAAATGAGGTATCGCTCGACCCCTACTGCCATTTAAGATTTAAGGGTTGGAGCTTACCCCCGCGAGAGGGTTGAAGTGACAACATTGAAAATATGTGCAAAAGATTTCCCCCTCCGAATAAAAATCGACGGGTCCGAGCGATTTTTTTCAATAAACGATGAATACGAGATATCGACCTTGTTTCGTTTTCGCTGGCCCACCCTGTATAATTATTTTTATATTTTTATGCCTAGTCCTGGTACACTATTTCAAAGACACCGCACACCGGCAAAAAAACTTAAAAAGTGTGGGCAATGCCGCTGGTCTTTGTCGCATACCGACAAAGCCAAGCCCTTCTTGTTGACAGTGTGAGATATCTCTTTAGAAGTGGACAAAAGTATAAAATTACACAGATAATTGAATCAAAAACTATTTCAAATTTGAGTTTCTAATGAAGGAATAATATTCCCATTTAAATATTTATTGAAACGGAATTTTAAGGATTAGGTACCTACTATATGAATTTTGCCCCTTTATTTAATGTATTAACTCCACTGTATTCTAAAAGTAAATCAGCTAGAATTTCGGGGCAATGGCGTTCGTCATTTCAGTTTTTATAGAAATATCTGGAGTATGTTTATTCTTTATTAACCAATTTGTTTTCATTTGTCATAAAAATAATATTTAGACGCCTATGGATTCCCACGTGACTTCAAAGAGATCGACTGAGCCGCCTTTTTTATGAAGTTTCAATTAACAATGGTTAAACTATACCTACCAATATTTTTGTCCCAAAGTGAATAATTTTAAATGACAACATCCATATTAACTTTATAGTGGGTCATAATTCAGACGGTTAAACTTTATTGATTTTTTTCTCCATTGAACGTATTGTTAACTCCACAGAACTTAAGTCTGTTTAAAATTGATGTCGATCAGTACCTATTACTGCTTTTAAGATTTCAAGCTCGAACTGAAGTGCTATTTTAACTTGTAACTTATAGTTATGGGTCGTTTCTAAAAAAAACAATAACGTGAATCGCTTATAAACTCAGGACAACTAACTAACATGTATTAGAATGTAAAAGAATAAGGTAGAATACTCCAGTGCGTTACCAATAATAATAGAGATAGTATCAGCATAACATAAATAGAGTAAATATGAGAATTTTAGGAACATTTCAACTTCTTGAAAACTAAAAACTGTCTATTAAACCCTTAGAGCAGATTAAACTTAAGTGTTTAACAAATACATTATGCTTAACACTACTTAAATAACCCTTCTGTTGATATGTCAGAAGTTATATCCGTGGCTAATAGTTATTTATGTATCAAGGGAATTATTCTGTCTATTTTTATATAGAAACCATAAATGAAAATTTCAATTTTTTGTCAAAATTTCACCTATTCAAGGTAAAAGCAGGAGTTATGGAAATCCTTAACTCCCTTGGGAGTTATGAATGGAAATCCTTAACTCCCTTGGGAGTTATGATATCCTTAACTCCCGCGCGGGAGTTAAGACTCTGTTTATGATTATCGTAACCAAGGTATTATATGGTTATAACAGTTCAGTAGGATATAAATATTTTAAAGAAACCTACCCCTTAGAAACTGCGTCACGAATAAAGTGATGTCTGATGTCTATGTGTTTGGATCTCTTATGTACAGGGTGGGCCAAATTGGACACTTTCTTATGGAAACACCCTTTATTTTTAGAGATAGAAAAAAATGGACCCCCCACTTTGAGGCTCAAATTTCATGAAATCTTGATTGGTGCAAACCGCATTTTGATATCTTCAACCGTTTAGCCGCTAGAGGGCGATTCTCGATTTTGAGCAATACTGTAAAGCCTCCATAACTTTCTTGTTTATGAAAATAATCCATTTCCGTAAAGACCTTTTAGAAGCACTTTTTCAAGCAGAATTCAGTGACATTCTCAGTTTTTTTCTGTCTGGCTTCGATTTCCAGATATTGACCAAAATCCGATTTTTTTCAATAGGACACTCTATATATTAATAGTTCATTAGAAAGCTATGCTTTCGCTGATTTTAATGATACAAGGTTTGATAGGTTTATCTCTAACAGTTTTCGAGAAAAAAAATTATTTCGGTTTTTGTCATAAGAAACAATGTGTCAGAAAGAGACCTTTCTCAGTTTCTCTGTATGAGAAAGGTCTCTTTCTTACACATTGTTTCTTATGACAAAAACCGCAATAATTTTTTTTCTCGAAAACTGTTAAAGATAAACCTATCAAACCTGTATCATTAAAATCAGCGAAAGCATAGCTTTCTAATGAACTATTAATATATAGAGTTTCCTATTGAAAAAAATCGGATTTTGGTCAATATCTCGAAATCGAAGCCAGACAGAAAAAAACTGAGAACGTCACTGAATTCTGCTTGAAAAAGTGCTTCCAAAAGGTCTTTACGGAAATAAATTATTTCCATGAACAAAAAAGTTATGGAGGCTTTACAGTATTGCTCAAAGTCGAGAATTGCCCTCTAGCGCCTAAACGGTTGAAGATATCAAAATGCGGTTTGCACCAATCAAAATTTCATGAAATTTGAGCCTCAGAGTGGGGGGTCCATTTTTTTCTATCTCTAAAAATAAAGGGTGTTTCCATAAGAAAGTGTCCAATTTGGACCACCCTGTACAGTGGGAAGCATTGCAATTGGCACACACTATATAAATATCCCTCGTAATGTGTCAAATCTGACACACAGTCATAGCAAAATGTTGCACTAAATAGATTTATTGGTTAGAATGTTAACTTAAAAAGGGGGTGTGATCTTAAAATACAACTTGTTTTCAGAAAATAAAGAAAGAAATTTTAAGAACTCTTGTGAAAATCTCGCATCGCTACTCAAAATAATAAAGTAGATACACCTAAATAAAAGTTTGTCCATTCATCGCGTGACGTCACAACCACGCGACGAGCGTGTTGGCCGGCTCAGGGCGCGAGGCGCGTGTCATTACACGCGTAGTAGTAGCCTATTTATTAGTGTATGTCGTTTATAGATTAACGTTCTTCTGCTTAATTTGTTCGTTACTTGTTTCATTTATGTAATAACATTAAAAATGCCTAATTGCTGTGTTGAAGGTTGCAATAACAATCCTAAAAATGCTGGTATTTTGTTGCATTCATTTTCGAAGAAAGAACTACAGCTAGCTCTATACAAAACGTGGAAAAATCGCATAAACCGGAAAAATTTTAATCCCAATCATCGCCATGTGGTTTGTAATGTACACTTTAATGACAATGACTTTGAACATAGTGTAAAGACGACTTTATTGCCTAATGAGAAGATAAAGATGAGATTGAAGAAGAATAATATTCCGACTTTCTTTTTATCCAATAAAGGTGCTACAAAGGAAAGTATATTAAGAATTTCCACGTATCTTCGTGAAACACTTGCACCATGTAAGCGAATTAGGTCTTTCAGGGTTTTTGTCAGTTTTTCCTTTTTCCTCGTCGTTTTTTAATTTCTAGTTCTTTTTTAGAATATTTTGGCTCAAAACCAAAAGTCATTATTGTTGAAGAAAAAACTTAGAATATCTTATTTTAAATTAAAAAAACCTATTTAAACTTGAACGCAAAAACAATACGATAATCTCGATATATTATTATGCAGCAAGTATGAGCAAACGCGCGCACAACGCCGGCCGGCGGACTCAGATGGGGTTCTGACGTCACAGTGCTGGGAGTAGCAACTTCATACCACGATATCTTCGCAACGGTTGGTCGTAGCCTAGTGCGGTTTGAAAATTTGTTCTTAGATTTTTTTTTTCCAAAACTTTTATTTTTGGGTCACACCCCCTTTAATACGAGGGATTTTAAAGAGTGTGTGCCAATTGCAATGATTCCCACTGTACATACAATGGGATTATTTACCGATTCTTGTGCACTTTCGTTAT